TGTTACTTTGCATTAAAAGCTTGAAATAAGCGATTTTCTGATCGTTTTTTGTGTTTTCTAAAGTTAGGATAAAATTATGACGTGGTGAAGTTAGACCCCAAATCTTGATTTAGCCCCTTAACATACATAAGATACATGTATTTACTTATTGGTACCCTAACATTTTTTCTGTGGTCCTATGTTAGTGAAGTGCATTATTCGAAAAAAAAGAGAAAATTGGTAATATTTTTATCTTACTTTCAATATATTTTTGGAGTACCAGGTACATGCAACAGCATTACCAAAATGCAATGGCCATTATGAGAAAATATGGTAGACCAGACTTGTTTATAAAAATTATATGCAATCGAAAATGGAAAGAAATTAAATTTATTATATCCAAATTTCCAAAAAATAATTCTCCGAATGATAATTCTAACATTACTATTAGATTATTTCATATAAAGTTACATCCAATTTTGAATGACATGACGCAAATAATCTCTTTGGAAGAGTAATAACTCATGTTAATACCATAGAATTTGAAAAACGTGGTTTACTACATGCTTGTCTTCTCATAACTTTTTATCCTAAGAATAAAATAATTTTACCTGAACAGATTAATAAAATTATATCAGCTAAAATACCTTCAAATAATAAGAAACTTGCAAAATTGGTTATTAAACACATGCTGCACGGTCCTCACACTAAACAAAGCCCATGTTTAAAAACATCTAATAATAAAATAAATTTGCGTAAAAAGANAAGTTTTTTGCTCTCTCTTTCCCCCTTCCTGCAACATGACGAAAAATTCCTCTATTTTCTCCTTTACTTGTATAAACTTTATTTGTTCTTGAGCCCCACCAATTCATCAACTAATTTTTAAAAGACCACCCGCATCTTTTTTACCGCTGCTTAACGCCCTACATAAAGATATAAAATATAAAACATTTAAAGATACTGCAATTGCCATGGGTTTAATAGAGTATGATTTAATTTAATAGGGAAGATTGATGATATTTTTAAAGAAGCTAGTACTGTTATGCTTCCTCATCAATTAAGACAATTTTTTGCATGGTTTCAATTATCAGAGAATATACAAGGTAATAAAACTTGTAATAAGTATAAAAACTATTTTCGTGAAGATTTCATTCGTAATAAAGAAAACTGTGTTTTTCAGCACATCAACAAAATTTTTGAACTTGAAGATAAATCATGTAAATCATTTTATTTATCTGAACCGATTAAAATTGACTCACAAGACAATGATGACGCAGAGGAAGTTGCATTCTGTAAAAATATGTTTGATTCAATGAATGCTTAACTAAAAAATAAACAAAAAAAATTTTTTTTAATTGTATGTAAAAATGTCAAGAAGATTTAATTTATAGATGGTCTTAGAGGATCATCAAAAATCTTTTTATATAAATCATTAATTTATTACTCCACATTACAAAAGAAAAAAATATTGTCAATGGCATTGACTGGCATTGCGTCAGTACTACTACTGAAAGGTATGACCAGTCATAGAACTTTTCGCTCACCTTCAAATTCAAATAATATTGAGACTGCATTTTTTGAATTCGAATCCGAGAAAAAAAAATTATGTGAAATCAATTCGATGATTTGGGATGAGGCTTCTATGATTCCAAAAAAAAGCTGTAGAGATAGTAGAGAGAACTTTACGTGATGTATGCAATACATACATACATTTTGGAAATAAATTACTTATTTTGGGACGAGATCTCCGTCAAACACTTCCTGTTATAAAAAATGGTAATAGTAGTATGGTTAAATCAAAAATTATTTCTTTAAAGTCATCATTTTTTCAAAGTTCTTTTTATATTTTATGTTTTGCAAACATTCGTTCGGTTAGTAAAAATTTTTCTTAATTACTTTTAGAAATTGGATAGGGAAAAATAAAATGACTGAACATTCCTGAAAAATGGAAAGTCAATGATGTATGTCTGAAAATATTAAGTAAAAATAATTAATCTTTTTTAAATAGTGTTATTCTGACTTCTCACAATGAATACACTATTTTTTTAAGTAACAAAATTCTTAATCTAATAAAAAAAAATACAACAACTTTGGATAGCATAGATCATGCCACGTACAAAGGTGTCGATAAATCGGGAGATGTTTCCTTATTGAAATATTCAACAATATTTGTGAAGGTTTGTCACCGCATGAACTAAATTTAAAAGTTGGAGCAATAGCTATCTTAACGATGCACAGTTAAAGATTAGAAAATTATTCAATTATAATATTGAAGCTGAAATTATAACAGGAGAAATACTTGGAAATAGAGTATGTACACCGAAAATCACTTTAAATACAGGTAATACCTCGTCGTTAACTTTCATACTTTACAGAAAGCAATTTCCGTTAGTCTTGGCATTCGCTATGACAATTAACAAATCTCAAAAGCAAAGTTTTAATAAAGCCAGTATGTAATTAAAAAAGCCCTCATTTTCTCTAAGACAACAATACGTATCGTTATCAAAATGCAAAACTAAAGAAGGGATGTTTATGCAAATTAAACGTGAAAATAATTCGGAATTGGAAAATGCTATTTTGGAAGATATTTTTGATTAGCAGGAAGTACACTTTTTTAAAAGAAAAAAAGATTAACGAATTGAAAGTTATCACATTAATTTAAACAACATTATTCAGTAGTAGCATATGACATGATACGTTAATATTTTATTATGTTGCAATGTTGTTGAAAATCATTGAAGTAAAAACTTTGATTCAGGATAACTATTTATAACATTTTTCTAAATTAGATTATTCTTTTTATTCTCTTTAGCACAATTGGTTTATTTTTACTTTGGTTTTATGATTACTTCGTATGCATATTAAAAATAAATAATTTAAAAGAATTGAATTTCACGATTTTGTACTAAAAATCTTACCTCATGAAAATTAGAGTTATGTATAAAATAATAATTTTTACATTTTATGTATTTATTTTTCAATTTGTACACACAACAAGAAATAGGTTTAAGGTAGATGGGTTAAAAAAAAATATACAAGCAAATGCATAGAAATATAAATTAACTTTTGTTTAATTACTATATCCATCGATGGTT